CCCCAAAACCCCAAAACCCCAAAACCCCTGTGATATGATCTGCTTTAAAAATTTGAATCTATTATTAAAATATAAGTGTATATTAGTGATAGCATATTTTCAAAATTATCTAATCAATTCTATATTGTTGAATTAAATCAAATACTTAAAATTTTATTCAAGGTAATGTAATCGAGATTTCTCTTATCTCCACATTTTTAATATCTCTTTGAAGATCAATGAGTTTGTAGATCTGTCCTTATTCTCCGTTTTTAATTCTCAGATTAATAAAACTATCATTCTTATTCCAAGCTGCTATATGGCTATACCTAGAATCAATTATTTTGATAATTTAGCAGTTTCTCATATTAATCAATGATATTTTCTCTTCATCTTTTACAAAAGCAAATGGGTTTAAATCATAATTATAGTCTTATACAGCAAAGATAAATGGATATTTTGCTAGTTTAATACTGTGAATTTATAATTTTCGTTCAAAATCAAATAATTTCAATTGATAATTATTACTCCATTCAGTATAAGCAATAGTCTTTGAAAAAATTTTCATAATTGATGAAATTTCTACTTTTTCAACTATGCTCATTTAATCTTATAATAGGTAATCATAATCACTATTCCTGATTAATTTTCCAATAGAAATACCATTTCTACTATCTCCAAAAGCAAAAGTATATTAATTTTCTTCCTTTTTTATAAGGCAGATTTCTTATATCCATTTGAATGAATCGATTGTAAAAATTTGAGAATATTTCTAATTTGTAAAACTCAACAAGAGAATGATGCTATAGCAAAGTTCATTCTAGAAGCTTAATGCCATCTCTAATGGTATTAGTTCAAGCATTTTCTAATCCACGAGTAACCTTGGAAATCAAAGGAGAGTCATTCAGTAAAGGACATCAAAATTGGTATCTGACCTCAATGAGAGAGCTCAGCAGGCTAAAGAGAACGCTAGATCCATGAGAAACAAGGCAAGTCGTCTATACTTGAAATTCAATTCTGTAGTCAGACATATCGCTGGTTATCCAAAAATCATATATGTGCCCCTAGTAATTGCTTCTAGCGCTGCATATGGTTATCACTCTGTTAAGAAAACAAAGTCACCTCATTTGACAGCAGAGCTAGCTTAAAATGAAAGCCCTCTTAGCAACATTGATACATTTTAGAGATGGGTCGTCACATCAGCTATTGAAAATATCACAGACATAGTAGCCTCAAAAGATGTTAAAAAGGAGGGAGTATCCTACTTGGAGAGAATGTTCAAGAATTCGCAAGTCCACGACTCGCTTATCTTCCTGCTAAAAAATGCTGTCAAGGACGACAGATTTGTAACTGAATCTAAGAAATTCGGCATTGATTGGATAACTTACACAATAACTTCTCAGCAGTCCAAAAATGATCTTAAAAATTTAATGAGCTTAACTTTTACTCAAGACTAGAGAGTTGTAGAAATTTCAAAAGAACTTTTGAAATACTTTGTAACCCAACCTGAATCAAAAGAGATGACAAAAGAGATAATGTGTAAAGTATTCCTAACCGATGAGGTTCTTAATGCAGTTGGTAAGCAACTAGGAGATGGTTCATACGAAGCTGTATAGAGTGATGAATTCTAATCAAAGTTGAGCGATACATGTAAATAAATTGTTTTCGAAGAAAAAAGATGGGCCGAAATCAAACAGAAACTAGTCTACTAGCCATTAGCTGACACCCTGACCTTCGGTCTATATTCGAAGATGAAGGGGAAGGAGGAGTGATATTCTTGACAATAATCGAACCCTCTGATTAAGAGAGTTCAGTGTTGTTTCAGATGGTATACCAATATCCCATTTTAACTTAAAGCTTGTAGTTATTTCTCAATAAAATATATTAATTGATATTAAAGTATTTTACTCGCAACCCCTATTTCTTATTTATTTACTCAATTTGAAGTCATCTAATTATGGAATATTGCGTATGAAAGTATACGACTCGTATCTTATTTATCAGTTTATCTCATTTTCATAATTTATGACCATCTCCGATCAAAATGAATCTTTGCCTGAAGGGGTTTTGGGGTTTTGGGGTTTTGGGGTTTTGGG